TTTCTTATCTTGACCCTTATTCTTATTCTAGATCCACGTTTGGCGAAGATAAACGCGAAATAAGGATGTGATGATATGTGAAGAGTATAATAGTTTACGAAATGATATAAATAACAGAAATCGTTTCTCTTTTGATATATCTTCCTGTTGCGCGTGTAAACACATACATATATCTAAAAGTCTCGAAAGGACAATAACTATCTGTCCATCGGTTTCGCAAAAATTACGTTTTACAGCATTCAGCGTTGTATCTGCATCGCCGAATACAATTGCGAGTTCTATATCCCATTGAAACTCACGAAGTATATAGCGGGGGGGGGCGGGGGAGTGAATACGAACCCTTTCAGTCCGCCTACCCGATTACAGATAACAACGTGGAAAAAAGGAAAAAAGCGACGCAATTTTCGAGAGGCACTACGAATTTTTTAACGCTCGAGCGCTCAAAAGTTCGCGAACGAATTTAGGAAGGCTGGCAGCAAACCGCAAAAACGCGTGCCGCAGAGAGGCACCATGCACAAAAGGAAGGAACAAGTTAAAACGAATCGCCGTGAAAAGAAGGAGGAGGAGAGTGGCATTCCCGAAACGCAACAAGGGCGCTTTCGCGTGCCAAGGGTGAGAGTTGACTGTAACGTTATTCGCATTACATTCGCGTATATACGTGTATATACGTGTGTCGTACAAATATTCTTTCTCGCCATTCCGTCGCCTTTCCTGAACGTAGACCCCACGCACATCGCTATAAATATGTCCCGGCACTAGGCTAGCCAAGGATCGCGCAATTCCCATGGTGCGAACTTTCACCGTCGATGTATAAAGGATCTGACATGCACAGTGTATTCCAAGACCATCGGATGTCTTTTTAGCCACAACTTTTTTCATTCAATGCACTAACAATTTTTGTTTGGCGAAAATACAAAAAATACGAATTATGACTTATCCTTAGCATAAAACTTAAAAATAACACTTTAAAAAATCAAGATATTCAAAAGTATTAATTATATTAAGCACTAAAATATAAATTAAATAGTTTCTCTTCTCCTCGAAAGTTTAATTTGTCAGAAGCTAATTATTTCTAATTGAATTATAGATACTTGCAATTTTTGAAAAGTAGAATAAGGCTTTAAAAATCAAAGTATTAAAAAAATTTTTTTTTCGGGCAACTACATAAATTTTGTCACCATTTTTCTGAAGTTTAATTTATTAGAATTAATTATTTTTAATTAAATTATAGATATCTTGCAATTTTTTTTTATTAGTTGTGAAATAATAAAATTCAATAAAAATCATAAAGTAATAAAATCAATCAATTATAAATCTGTGAAAAAGATAACTCATCAATCATGTCATGGTATTCCAGTCTCCAATATTTTATGACGTTCAAATCGATAGTGATCGTATTTAAGGTTTGCCATATTATAAATGGGACTTCGATATTGGAATTTGCGATACACGTAATTGCACGCTATAATATTTGAGATGCTATGAGAAAAGCGCGCTTTCCAACAATATCCTAAAATTCCTTTTATTCAGTTTAATGTTATTATATAGCGTACGATTAAAATACTTGCACTGGATAAAAGTAATGTGATATTTTATAATTTGCGTAAGGACCATTCGCAGTTTAAAAATAATAGAAAGCTAAAATAATAGCATAGAAAGTTAAAATAATAATTTAACAAGAATTTGCAGAATTTGTGTCATTTCGCTTTCGCAACAACAATTGCATTATGTAAGTTTCTTTGGAAAAGAAATTACGCTTAGAGCTAACTTTATTCGAAAACACATCAATAAATTACGTTTCCCAACACAAAGAGAAGACGATAATACCATTTCATGCCATTGTATTGAAATATGTGTAACATTATTTTACTCTTTCAAACTTTCGCGGTTTCACTGAAACAAAGCGTGCATTTCTGTAACTACGTGTGACCGAATTACCTAATTACCAACTATTCATGTGAAGACAATAACGTTTCAATTGTAGACATAATAGGGGTATAGACCATGCATTCCTATGAAGTTGTATAATTATTAGTTTAAAAAGAGTGAGGTAATATTTGATTTACACCGATCTCTCTCTCTCTCTGTAATTTTCTTTCTTTCTAGATCTTTATTATCATTATCTTCTCTTATTTTTCTTACGTTTATTTTGACTTTATTTCATTCCTTCTCATAATTGTTTTTTTTCCCATTATTATTATTAATTTGTTTTGTTTTGTTTGTACATATTTTATTCTGCGCTGCTATCTTTTTAATTTTTTTTCCTTTTTTGTTGTCAGTTATTATTTCTTAGAGGGCTTGGAATATCAATCAACGTCTTTGTTTATATATCTATCTTATCCTTTACAGAAATCTAATATATTGGCCAATTAATTTAATACTGACAAGTTTATTACTGAAAAAGTAATTAATTACTTATTTGGAATAATAAAAACAGTAAACAGTAATGCTTTTAATGCTTAAACTAATTGTAAATAATTAATTACTGTTCGTCAGTATTGAACTGGCTAGTATTAAATTGGCCAGTATTAAATTTCTGTGAGAAATTCAGAGCGAATTAAAGAGAAATACTAATGCGATTCAATAATTCGTTCAATATGCGTTTTCTTTTTAAAGGAGCACAAATGCTAAGATTAGGGATTGCGCAATTTTTACTATTACAGTTATAATTTAGATGGATGTGCATTGCATAAGATATATAAATTAATGTGATATGTATATATCTTATACGTTGCAAACGTGAAATTAGAAATAAACAAAGAAACAAAACTTTGATTCCAATTTGACACGTTTCAGTTTCGGATCGGTTGAACTGCGGTTTGGAAGCACGAATCTATATGACGCTGTTACTTGATACAAGGGCTCAAAGTTTCATTGCTTGCCAAATGGAACGTTCAGTAGTTGAATGCTAAGCAACTCTAATCTGAATGCAGAAAGTTTTGCACGATACAATCGATACGCTCAAATGAGACCACACACACATACATGCCAATAGAATTCACGTATGTGTCTGTGTAGCACTAAAAAAAGAAGTGTTTAATTTTGAGATAAAACGTTTTATTCTGGTCCCCATTTTTTAAACATTTAAAGTAAAAAACGCATAGTATTTTAAATCCGAACACATAGTGTTTTAAGAAAGTTTAAAATTAAAATATCTTCAGGTGTTTAAAAAATGGAGACAAGAATAAAACATTTTAATATTTTAAAATTAAATACTTCTTTTTACAGTGAGGCAGTAAAGTTTTTTTTACTTTTTAAAAAAATTTTTCTTTGGACACAGTATTCGTAATATTTCCATATTCTTGACTATTAACACATTCTGTCGTCAAAAATGACTAATAATATTTGTTACAGTTTTAACTATCCACAAGCACAATGACAATTTATGTTAACAAATAACACACACACAAAAGATCTATATTTAAAAAAGGTATTATCGTAAAATAATTATAAAATGCGTGCAAATATAATATTACTTCATTTTAACTTTAAAAACATACTTTTCTTTATTTAATAATATAAAAATGTTTTAATTATCATTATAAAAAACATTTTTAACATAAACATTATTTGTAACAATCAGTTGTTACCATTTGTGCCCAAAATTAAAATATTTTCTTCTAATATTTTCTTTGTTTAAATCATTTTCTTTCTTTCTTTTAAAACATATTTTTAAAAACATATTTTTGCCTTTACTTGATAAATATATTAGGCTATCCAAGTACGCAAATATTATTTATAATATGCGATTAATTTTATCATGTTTTCGTTAAAATGTATTCTATTTGTATCACGTTATGTACATCAAATATAATAAATAATTTTGTGAAACAATATATCAGAGAGCAGAAAGAGAAAGAAAGAAAATCTTTTCAAAATAATGTTTATACAAAATACCGGCAATTCGTTCGACATATCGTAGATGTGTGCACACATTCCATATTTACAGAGAACCATAAATGCGGTACCTCACCGCAGTTTCCTGCCAGCATGCAACATCTCGCAAACAGGCTTTAAAGTTGCTCGTGTGAACACAAAACTGAGGAAGTTGAACTCTGTAGATCGTTGTCCTATATATTCGTACAAACTCTCATTGACGTTTCAGTGAAACGCAGCTAGCGCTCTGGGATGCATTGTAGTAACACGCCAACGCAATTATCCCCTCGAGATCCGAGTTTGTTCAACATTCATCAGCGTACGCTGTTTTACCAGTGGTTAACAACATTTTCGAGAATAAAGATTGTTCAACCTAGGGTCAGCATACATTTTTAACAATGCGAACTGGAGCGAACAAGATAAATTTTGTGACAATGCAAATCGGCGATTTTCATGAAATTTAACAAACAAAAGATATTGATTATTTTATATATAAATACATATTTATATATAATGTTTCTGTCGTGTTTAAGAAAAAGTTATAATCAATTTAAATAAGAAAAAGAATATGTCTCGACGTCAGTCTAATACTATTTAAAGATTATCGAACTATGCAGTTTGCCAACGAAGCAGATTAATAATTTCTTCAATGTTGCAGAAAGAATAATCATCAAAATTATTTCACACCGAAGCAAATTCCCCGGCAAAAATAAAACGGCTCTTCTGACAGGACTGCACCACTACATCCACGTGTTTGCAAATACTGCTTTCACCGCAGATAGCTACAGATAGCGTTGTAGCTCTAAAAAAAAACTCATAATTTCCTGAGAGCTATCTGTAAAACCTTTTCAATCCCGGAAAAAAATTTTTTTTAAATCACTTTTCGAGGTATGATCAAAATTGCCAGCATCTCATAGCTGGTTCACAATTCGAATGCTCGAAGACCAAAATTGGATATGAATCAATCGAACGAAATACGATCGGAAATGCGGAAGATGAACGTATGTTTACACCGATAGGTCGACGTGTGTACGTGCGGTGACGAAACGTCGCGTCGTTAGCTCGGTCTGGGAATATACAGAGAAGAGCAGCACGATCTCGGAAGGTAGCTGAAATGGACTCACCTCTCTGCCGGCTGGATGCAGCCACGGGGCTTCAGACTCAGGGCTCGCGGCCGGCGCAGATCGGATAGCACTGCGTGAATGTTAAGCACAGGTGGCAATATCTCCGATGGCACGGCTACGCCGCTCGAGTGGTCGGTGTGGACTGCAGAAAAGCCCGCAGATGATATCAGAGACCTAGGGGAGCACCGTATGACATCATCGCCGGCCAATCCGCACGAGCTTACTGGGGCGCAAGCGCCGCCACCCTCCCGGCGCCGAGGGTGCTTGCGATATATCGCAATCGATTGCATCCCCGACTTCGCGCCCCCGACAACGGAGCTCTCTGCTGGCGAGACTTTACCCTCGGCTTTGAAACGTGGCGCCAAGTTTGTAGGCGCTGCGACATCAAGCAACTTATATCCTGGGTTTTCCCATTTTATCGATTCGCAAAATTTTCTATTAATTTTCTTCTTTACGATGAACTTTTTCTCTTTACAAACACTTGTAAAAGAAGTGTTTAATTTCAAGATATTAAAATGTTTTATTCTTGTCTCCAGTTTTTAAACACTTAAAAATGTTTTAGTTTAAAATTTTTTCAATAAACAAAACACTACGTGTGTGGATTTAAAATACTAAAACGTTTAAAATTAAAATATCTTTTATTATTGAACGTTTGTTTTGCAAAAATGTTTTAAACGTAAACACTTTAAATACTACACTTTTTACAGTGAAAATAGTGGAATGTCAGTATATTTTTGGATTACGGGTTGTCAATCTAATAGCTCTTGAATCTATTAAACTTATATGCACGGAAAAAATAACAGCTAAAAATTTCATTGATTCAGCAAATTTACAGCCGTAATATACAGACAGTTAATTTTCTATGTTAAAATAGCAAAGTTGACAACTGAACAACATTAGCGATTTGTTAAACTATCAAATCTTCTTAGTTGTAGATGTTGAATTCTCGCAGTAAGTTATAGGTTTGCTGTACCACTCAATTAATTTTTATAGATTTATTTGTTTATCAATAATTTCTCTTTCTTTACACGTTGTAAAATTTAGACTTTTAATTATTGACGTCACAGTTTCAAAATATTTGCCAAAGAATTAAAAGCAAAAACGTTAATATAGAATCTGAAACTGTGTGCGTTGTGTCGCTAAATCTCAAATGAAGTGTATATAATCGATTTGTCAGACTGACAAGCTTGACAAGAACATATGCGACCTGAGCGCGAACACATCGTGGATCCGCCGCTCACCACATTGTCAAGACGCAACGCGGACAGATAATAGATATCGAGCCAAACACGTGATCGTATAAATCTTATCGGAGTAGCGCTCGGATAAAAGCGTTTCGCATACATTGAGTTGCTCCTCGCCTCGACATAGACAACAGGTAAGCTTCTTTGTTGTTCATCGTCGTCGCAGCAAGCCGCGCTGAAATATGTAAAATTATTCCTGGATCTTTGCACGATCTTGAAACCAGCTTGCCGGCGTGGCGTTTTCGAAGCTTCGTGTATCCCTCAGGTACTCACATACATCCACTCGTTTACAAGCTCGTGACGCAAACACTCGCAGCTGACTGCACAGGTGCGAAGAAGGCTTATGGAGGGACATTATCATACTCGTGAATACAAAAGTTTCCTTTGTGAAACGCGAGATTACCGCGCGAGAAAGCAGGTCGAGCTTTCAACTGCTTCTGAAGAAGACTACAAACCGGCAGTACGCGAAAACGCTTAATTTGAAAAGAGTTTGCTACAGCAACTTTCAACAGCAAAAAATTTCGCTGCGCGTGTTCTGTTCTGTAAACATAAAAACCACAATTTGTAAACACGAGTTAAATGTACAAGATGCTCCTAAACCACTAAACTTAAAATATTAATTTATAGGAAAACTCAAAACAAATTTTCCTCTAAGTTTTCTCACAAAGGTTCAATGAGATATCGACTTCTTTGTTTAATAATTGATATCTAATAATTAATATCAAATTAATATCTCTTAAACAAAGCGTTTCTGAGCAAACGTTTAGAGGAAAATTTTATTTATTTTAGGACCCTAAATTCATATTTCAAGTTTGGCGGTTTAACCCAGAAACGTCTTGTACATTATTAATAATTGTGGTGGAAGATAAATATTGTAAGATTTCCTGGTCGATTTTTATCTCACGTAATACATGGCATATGGCAACAATTTACGAAAGCATTCATCAATTCCAGAAAAGCGTCTACCCTCTCGTCAAACAACAAGATCCTGATATCTTCCAAATCGATTTTACATTCCGTGACTTCGCTTTAGCTACGTATAAGGGGAGCTGTGTGTATTCCGCGTATTTATGAAACTACAAGCAATACATGCGTGTCTACAGATGCTGAAGTCTGTTCCCTTCGAATTCACGCAAAGGTAGTATGAGGAATGGTCGAATTATGCGACATATTGCACGGTTCGAATCCGCCCTCACGCACATAGTCAGATATTCGAGAAGAAAAAGCGGTGTTTATAAGCAAGGGAATTTGTTTCGACTGACTGATTGCGCATTGATTTGTGCTACAAAGGTGGATATGTTATTGGATATTGAAAAGTTCAATTTGAAACGCGATCAGCCACCGAAAAATACTCGCCAACGTATGCATTTGATTCAATTGGGAAGCAATTTATTCCGATTTTTATTACTTATCTTAAGAGTTTAATAATTTCCTCGTGTAAAAAGCTAATCAGGTCATCACAACTATATTGTTGATGGGATTTCGAGTGAGATCGATCATGCTCTGCGTAAAAGCTGGAAATATACTCGAATCAATCACAAAGCCAGTCGCGAGATTAAGCTGCACAACGACCGTTAGTCTCCTCTATTGATCAGGAATGCTTTACTGCTCGCTAAAATTCGCTGCACGACCTTTTGGGGCGATTGGAGATTAGGAGGCTAATGTGCGGATAGCTCTAGCGCTATGGAGGATATACGAAAGATAAATCAGCAGTTTCAGAAACGACTATTACAGCACAGCAGGCATCGAAACCGTATAATTAATCGAAACCGCAGTTTTAAATGCTGAAGGTATTAATATTAATAATATAGGGTAAAGCGAGACTTTTTCGTCCATTTCTCGCGATAATGTTTATGTTTCTGAACAGCACACGTTGATTATTTAAAGATTGTGCTTGTGCTCTCAAAGAGCAATCATGATTGTATAATGTAATCGTAAGCACATCACTGCAAAAAAATATTGTTTGCAATCGTAAATTTTCGTATTACTTTAAAGTTGAAACTGACGGAATAATCCCGCCCTATTTTATTATTAATATTTTTCTAATTTTATAATTTATGTATTGCATATAAAATGCATGTAACATTAATGTATATCCTCGAAGTAGAAACGCGAGCTAAAAAGCGAATACAAAAACCGCAAGATATTCCATTGGCCCTGACATTTAGCCCTACTTTGTCAAGATGATGATAATCCTTTTAATCAACGTAATGAGCTACCTCAAACCTGACCTCAAAGTTGGCTGCATAAATAATCATGTCGCGTGAATAGGGCGACCATAAGCAAAACCATTTACGACGCGATGGACGAAATCACGCGAATATCGCGAGCGGAGATTTTCCAGAAAAATTTGATGGCGCAATATCGCTACGAAAAAGGTAATAAGAGTAAATTGACGTCTTGGGAAGAAGGAGGCTCGGGGTGCTCGAATACCAAGCTGCCGTCGCCGGCTTATTTCGTCCCGTTTCTCGGTGCCGTATCTGTACTCCAGAATACTTTCCTCTCTCCCTCTCCCGGTACGTTAGAGGGTGAATTGAGTGGTGCAAGGAAAAATGATTAAACAGTTCCCTCAGATCTTTCCGCGGCTCGCGAGTGCATTAATTTATGAAGATATAAGAAATAAACTAAAAAAAAGAATTAAAAAATATTATTACAGTACCCTCCATGAATTTAGAAATACATCATAAAAGTGTGTAATTTAAGGAAAATACATAATAAAATTGATATATTTTTATTTGTAAATAATTATTTAATTGAAAAAAGACGAAATAAAAGTACATACATTATCTACAGGGTGTTTCCTTTAACTTGATCATCTAAAATATCTCTGTTGTTTTGAATAATAGGAGAAAATACCAAAGGAGAAAATTGTTCGATTCGAAGGGGCATATATGATGAGCAAAAAATTTTTCTCTCTAGGTCATCTTTTTGAGACTTGCGATCAACTCAAATAGTTTACCACTTTTATAGAAACCATTGAACTACAATTAAACGATCTGTGATGTGTATATACAACGCACGCAAGTACGACGTTGCAAAACAAGTGACAATAGACCTAAGCGCGAAATTCAACTTTGAGCACTTCGATGCTGTGAAATAATTTTCCGATATCTTTTTGGCATGTATAAGCTTATAGATTAGACGTGTCCAATTTGAGCTTCGAAGCCAAAACGCAAAGCCATCGGGGCAAAAAAATCAATATGGATAAGATTTCGGAGACTGTAAAATGTTGATACGAGCGACGCTTATCAACACTTTACCGTCCATGAAATTTTACTCACATTGAATTTTTTGGTCGATAGCTTTGGAGTATCTAAGGAAACCTGTTATATATGTTCTAGATAAAAATGTTTATCGTCATTTAGACATCATATGATGTATTTAAACCAAAAACATGTACACTGAGAAAAAAATATAGTCAATTTTAATAAATATTTAGTTCTATACTGCCAACTAAACATTTACTTACAGTAAATAAATATTTGTTCAGTAAAAAAAAATAATTACTAAATTAAATTAACATTTCTTGTATCAAATAAATATATCTTTGTATTTAATAAATATTTAGTTGGCAGTATTTAACTAAATATTTATTAAAATTGACTTTTTTTCAGTATATAGATCGCTATCATGTAATGGTTTTCTTGAAAAACACAGGGTATTTCCAAACTTATAGAGGGTACCGTATCTATTCAACAATCTCTATCAACAATTCTTTAAAAGTTACGAAGACAAAGTGTATACGTAAAAGCTTGTAAATTTTAAAAAACTTGTAAATCGTAGCAGAACGTTGAATGTTGCATTGAATTTGGGGTTCCTCGTAGTCAGCACGCCGTCACTGTTGCCCGACGCGTGTTTCCATCTCGCAGATTTACATAAGTGACTTATGGTCAGCGAGTATTACCCTCGTGGTAGGCAGGGTCGTTCAGTCGTATCTTTGATGCGTCGTACGCGCGGGGATTTAAATGAGGGACGGTCGTTAAGGGAACCGGTGTGAAATATCACGCGAAAGTATCTGGTCTCGTTATTCGCGGATATTCACGGATATTCAAAGACCAAGCGATCCGATTCTTCCTGGTTTTCCAACAACTTTTTCATTTCTCATCGTTAAATATAATTTGCAATTATATTTACGATTTTAAAATTTTATGACTTATCCAGGCTTTTTTATTCTCCTCTATCAAAATCGCGATCTGACTAACAAGATGATGTAATCCAATAAAAAATGAAGCAATTAAAAATTCATCTGCGACATCAATGTAATATAAATATATACTTCCGCCGGCGATAATGATCGAATTTCGACATTACGTTAACCGTTCGATTAATTAACTCGACAATACTTTCCTAATAGAGTGGTTGCGGCATTCGATTAGCCATCGAAATTATATTCATTAAATCGAGAAAATCCATTTCCGTACAACTACTAGGTATCTCCGTACTTGCTGAATATCCCATCGTTTGCAAGCTATATTACTGTCGCGCAGATAACGCTTCCAGGTTCATCGTATCCAAGATTAAATAACGCGAGGCCAGCAGAAATTTTCACAGTGATATATAACGATGTGACATGTGATCGCAGATTTAATTTAGAGATTGTACATCGCCAAAGCGAACGTAATACGATACGTGACATGAGTGCGTAATATGTGCGACGCAATCATAATTACGTTTGCGCGTATTGCCAATTTTTCATATATAATTAGCTGTCATCAATTAACGCTTACGTGATGCTATATGAAATGATTCTATTCTATCATGCGTTGACTCGTCTGGCAGAGAAGTGCGATATTTTTTCAATCCCATACATATGAGATCTCGGATTTTTCTGTATTTTTTATTTTATCGACGGCGTCAGCAAATAATTCAAAGCCGATTTTTTTCCGACGGGAAATCCTGTCCGTTGAGAATTTATAAGAGGAAAATATCAATTCTGATTTGATCGAGGAATTCGTGCGCGAAGAGAAATCGCGAGAAATCTCTGCGACGCTCTGCAATATCACGGAGACATATGAATAATCGTTAATTAATTCCAAGCACGGCGCGTGCAAAACGACCCGCCGGCGAAAAAGCACGCCCGCCTTATATTCTCAATTTTTTATCTGCATATGTAACGAGCATAATAAATACCAGCGGCGGTTACCATTTGGTGACGCGAAACGCATAGCAACGAGAGCAAGCATTTTTTTTCCTCTCCTGCCATATTGTCCCTCCCGAGCGCGAGCGTTTTATCTGGCGTAGCAAAACGTGGAAGCAGTTCTCTATCATGAGCGGAACGTTTTATCAGATAAAGTCGCGCTATCGGTCTCGGCAGATAAGGGAACGGTGACAGGCTGACGATGACACACGGTGCCTGTGCTTTCAGAAGTGTACGTGTCGCTCCGGCTATTTTTTTTCCCCGTTCCCCATCGCGCGTGTAATTCTTGCCTCTGTTTTCCATCTCGTGTGGAAATAAAGTAAGTAGTATCTTTATCATTAATAAAAATTCAATGGTCTAAGAAAAGTCGTCGAATTGCATAATAAATATTGGCATATGGTATGAAATAATATGTACGATAATAATAACTAAGAAGAGTTAATGATCTCTCTATAATTATTAAGATTCGCTTCTTTACGATTAGATATTTGAAATAAACTTTTATAAAAGTCGTCGATCATACGTGTGCGTGGATATCAGTTAAATGTCGGAGAATCGGTAATGTTTTCTCGTGATCGTTATCAGGTACAAAATTCAAAAGGCACTTGATTAAATAATCACAGGTCATATCTCTGAACGGGCACACTAACGCCGCGCATTCGTCCTAATCCTATTTGCACTTTAGCCGTAACCCTCGTTCGCCTCTCTTAAGTCCTCCATTATTCTATATTGAATTGCACATAAATCTTCATAGCAAAAGAGCAACTTGGCTTGCGCTTCTACGCGAGTGAAAGAGTCTCACCAACGGAGTAATTTCTCTTCATCTTCTCGCGGTAGGAACAGAGCGAGCGGCCGGTTTTTCTTTGGCTTTGCTTGTACTCAGCTGAGAAGTAGATTCGTCTCAATCTCGGTCCGAAAGACCGATAAGAAGGACAACCGAAGGACTATAGCACTAAATAACCGCCTCCTCGATAGGTCATGGATACTCTGTATCCGAATCTCTACGAGCGCTTCAAGACCGAGGGTCTCTGTCCCATTTGCTTCATGGAGATGGAACTGACGCCCAGATACTCGTGTATTAACGGGCACACCGTATGCCACCGTTGCAAGCCTTATTATTACAACTGCTTCACGTGCGCAGCACCGTTGGATGTGGAGATCCTGCCGTCACAGAAGGACACATCCCAGCCATTGCGTCGTTATGACGATTATAATCCCAGCGCGCCGTCGATGAACGATTTTCTGGACTACGAAAGGAGAGTTTGGGAACCGTCCATGCCATCTGAAAATCAGCGTCTCGAATCCTGCTCGTATTCTTATCTAGGATGCTGGGTGAAAATACCAGAGCATCTGCGAATGCTTCATGAGTCGAGGTGAAAACAAAAGCTTTGTTCTTATCATCGCTATCAATTTGTAATTTTCCATAAATTGTCAATCGCATTTTACATGAATTGCATGCATTCATTTTTAGAGCCTTATAGATATTAACAAGAGTAGCGCAAACACCCGTCATCTTTAACTTAATCTAGATTAGAAATCAATCATACTAAAGAATCACTGAACGCTCATTGGATGATAAATTAATTAGATCTAAAATGATGATCGAAAAAGGAAGAACCATAGCGAAATGTGAATTTTTTTTAGAAACGTTGCTCAATATTTTATTTACTCTCACACAAAGTTTTCGAAATTAGCAATATTGCTTCTTTATAATTTTGTTGATATAATTAGTGGAAATATGGTATGCTGCTGCGCTCGGTGAAAGTAAATTGCTAAAATTGCTGAAAATCGCTAAAATCTAATATCAATTAACCTATTTCAGTATGAATTATATTAAAATAAGTCAACTGATATAGATTTTAGCGATTTTCAGCGATTTTCAGCGATTTTCAGCGATTTCAGCGATTTCAGCGATTTATTTCCACCAGGGATACTCCATATAAGAACTCATGCAAAATTAAATTGGATAACTCGTGAACTAGATAGAGAATCGACTTCAGGTTTTACATATGTCTTCAGATAATAAATAGAATTTATTAAATTTTCGAGTTATTGTCAATGTTAGAACGTTAATGCCAATATATTCTTAATCTGAAGGCTATTTTTAGATATATCAAAATCTTGCAGGCCGCATAATGTCAATTTCACAATGTCTATTTGGCATAATATAATTCACTATATTACTCATATAATTTTATTATACATATATGATTATTATATGTATATGTATAATTTCTTTATTAAAATATTAAAATACAATTTTTATCTATTTTTTTATTCCAGTTTTATTTATTCTGATGATTGTACACGACCGTACACATTGGGTAAAAATAATTATGAGAACGATTAATTTTGAATTTTATCTCATCAATAAAGAAATAAAAAATAAAGATAATTTGTAAAAATCAAATATTTTAGACAAAGATGTTATTTATTTATTAAATATAGGCTACATTTTCAAATATAAATTCTTAAAGATTTTGCTAAAATACATCTAAAAAATGAAAATGTTACGCAAAATGTTATTATTTTGATAAATTGCCTAAAATAAAAAAAAATATAATTTTATATTTTTGGCTATGAGCAGACACAGAGGGTCGTAAGAAATTAATTAGCGCTACAAGTTGTGCATCACTGCTCTAATATAAAACAGGTGTAATATATTATAATCATAACTTTCTCTAATACAATACACGAGTCACAGTACAGTTATATATTGTTGAACAGGAAATTGTAACTAGCAATTAATTATGGTTCTGTTTAGTTGGGTTAATGCTAATGTTTTGCTGAGTTAATGCTGATGTTAAAATCATAATTTCAGGTGCCAGTTTCGACCGTACTTGGAGGAGAAACACATGCCAACTGACCTTCATCATAGTCATGACGATTTGATAGATTGTTCGTACTCTGCAGCAGGATGCAGGGTACGAACAGTACCATGGAGACGCAGCATTCATGAGCAGTATTGCGTCTACAAGACCAAGGACATGTTTCAAACCGTGAACGATATGAGCGATGACTTCGCGTCTGCTACAATCGCCGATAATGATTACGGCGGCGATCCTGAAGAATTGGTGCAATGCAAGTTTAAGCAGTATGGTTGCATGGTGAATATTCCGAGGAGACGAAAATATATACACGAGCAGAAATGCAACTACAAGAGCCATGAAGGAAATGCATTCCAGAATACGAACGATATAAGCGACGGCTTCACATCCTCGACGATCGCCGATAACGATTATGGCGGCGATCCCGAAGAATTGGTGCAGTGCAAGTTTAAGCAGCATGGTTGCATGGTGAATATTCCGAGGAGGCGAAAGTACATACACGAACAGAAATGCAACTACAAGAGCCATCAAGGAAACTTAGACAGATTCGATTATTCCGCGCAACCAGAATTAGACCCTGACGAGCAAGTAGAATGCAGGTGGTCCGAATATGGCTGCCGAGTCAGACCGAAACGTTATCGTAAGCAAATTCATGAGGATAAATGTAATTACAGGAAGGAATTACCATGGATGCAGCGCTATATTTAAGCCAATCTTAAGATACTCTCGTGAGTACTACAATTTTTTGCTTGTCATTAATGATACCGAACTAAACTAATGATATTCAGCAATTTAGTGTAATTTTCGCCACACGCTAATGTTTATCAGAGCGAGATTACAAAATATCTTTTTCTGAATTGCGATTTGTCTTTTGGGAGATATTAATCAACATGCTCAATCATTCTCAATCTCTGAATCGCATAACACAAAGACGTGGAAATTAATTGTTTCCTCTCGTAATTGTTGAATTAAATGGAATGCTAGTTGGAAACGGGTACATTCCTCCCTTGTGTAGCGCTGAACGAATAACTGAAGTGTCGATACCAATACGAACGGAGTCGACAATTCTATTAATAGGTAACAAGCTGCGAGTCGAGCTCGTCAAGATAACAACAATTAGCAAACAACAAAGCGAATCTGATTATCGACGGTGCCGAGATGCGGGGCGATTTTGTAGAACGTATTAACGGCAATTTTCAGGAACCCGCAGGGATAATACAGAAGAGGATTATTTACTCTCTCCGCCACTCTCCGTTCTCGCGCGAGATAGCGAGACTTCCGCCTGTCGTTCCGGGGATCATCTTGAGCATGATCGTCCGGAATGAGGGAGTGATGGCGTGACTGGGATATCCAACACCTGCAGGCTAATGGTGGGTCTCCCTGTACGCCCACGACCGCATCACCATCGCTCGACGAAACGACACTTACACGTTTATAACATCCCATTTATAACGTCGGCATGAGCAAAGGATGGCGCGCAATTCTGTCTCGATGCGCGATTATAGATGGTATCCTGATGTCTCGAAGTCAATAAAATATATCAATATCAAAGACAAATTGCGCAATTTTATCCATTTTATCTGTAGTCGTTTTATTCGTATAATAGTTAACCTTTCGGTGCTACATATATCATTTTATCACATATTTACCACACTAGTATTATTAAAAGTATTACAGAAAAATGAACATGTAATAATTTTTTTTTCAACCAAAGTGCTAAACATCAAGAAGTATCACAATAATGAGAAAATTTAGCTTTATTAATAAAAGTTACAACATAGTAGAGTAAAAGTAAACTCGGATACGCCACATTAAAAGTGGCTCCGAAGAATTAAAGGGGAAAAAAATTATATAATTTTTTTTTACAGATATTTGCAACATTTGAACGATTTTGAATGGGCGTTTTTTGTGAAAAATTATTGTCAGTTTGCTTACAAAAAAAATTTACATTAGATTATTATGTACATTTATGGAAAATCATATTGAAATATCAGCGACACTCTGTGGAAACGGAAACGAAGGTTGAAATCTATTTCTTGCGCCATGAAAATCTGAGACGGTCCCATGGGTGAAGTATGCTTTCGTTCCTACTAAATAAATATCGAACGGATCGTGTCGCAAAGAAACTCTTGTCCGTATACAATTCGAGCGGCCTGTCATCTCGTTTGGTCAGAACTTTAACGTTCGACACTGCTTCGACGGACAAAGGGATGCAGGGACTGTTTTACATGGTAAAGACCAAGAAGGACCTCTGACCAGCGAATGCCTTAAAGAGGATGCCACATCAGACCTAGGTTTATAATCGTACAAAAAGGGAATGCCATTTTAAATTATGCTCAGAAACAATCGGGGTGATTTTTATTCAAGACAATGCCTAACCCCACGATAGCTACCCTTTACCTTCTCTAATTGCATTTCGGATTATTCGCTGACTTTTAATTAACCGATTTACAAAGAGATTGCGCACCTTAAAGACGATACTTTATTGTAACTGATTTTGTTTTGAAACATCTGCTACTTCTGCACGCACATAAATTTATTTCGCGCGATTGTATATTATAAAAAATTATTTAAATTTGTTTCATGCGTGTTCGGCTTTGCTTCGTCGTTTCTTATGTAAGTACTTTCGCGTGCGATCTCATACTTTTTTCATAATAAATAAAAACAATTAAGGAAACATATTAAATTTATAATGAAAAAAAACGTCCGCTTTCTACTTCAATAAATCAGAAAAACGTGACACTGCATTAATATACATATTTGTTATTTCTATGTAAAACAGCGACGCGAAAGGAAAAGTTGATGATGGATAAGGGGTGATTATCAGACGAAAGTTAATGGCCTTTTCTCCTCATTAAAACCTCTCTCGCATAAATTAATAAGCCGATCAGCGTTAGATGATGTAAAATAAGACGGCACCTCGTCATCGTGTATTTAAGAAGCTAGGTGAAATAAATGCAGACACGACAAGTTAAAACCGGCTGCTTCGAGGGATTGAGTGAAGGGATGAAAGGAGAAGATGCGAGTAAATTGCACCCCTGGGGACGAGCCTGACGAGTGGCGCGAAAGACGCAACAAGCCAGAAGTCAGCCAACTTTAATTAAGACAACGTTGCAGACTAGATCTAGACACGAGACTTTATATAAGAACTCGGACCTGTAACATTTTTTCAGCTATAAGTTTTTAGGACGTAATATTTAAGAATAAAACGATAGGAATATAACACATTTTGTTGTCACTATGTACATTCTAAAAATTTGACAATTTATCTTTCAATTTGTAATTGTATAGTTTTATTGTAGTTTAAAATTAAATTTTTCTAAAAGAAAAGAAAGAATTAAAAAATTATTGTCTTTCGATTTTTTATATTAAATACTTTTGTAACCAATTCTCAGATTGCAAGCCTCTTCAAGAAAAAGAGAAAAAGAGAATGAGGTCGATTTAAAATTTAATAAAGGATAAAATTTTATTACTATGTATTTGCCACGCTCTTAGCTTAATTTTCTCTCAACAAACCTTTTGAACTGCGCAACTTAAAAGCTAATGGTCTCTCAATGTTTTTGTTGAAAAAAATTGACTTCAAATTAATCAAAAAATTTCTAGATAAATGATGACTCGGTAGATCTAAAGTACCTCTTATATGTTACAACTAAATATCGGATTTTTATGCAATTGTATATTTTTTTAAAAAGCAAATTAGGAAGTAAAATCAAAATAGAAATTTTTCTTATTGGAAAAACATTGTAAAAATATTTATTTGTGCATATTTGGATATTTATGCATATTTCCATATTTTGTGTATATTTTCATATTTTGTCTACATAAAAAATCCAATAATTATAACAACACTAAATTTTTTGCAGTAAAATCTCCAAGAGAGTGAAAATACGACCATCCTTGAAAAAAAGTGAAAATATTTTATTTCTTGAAAAAGAGTGACAATTTTCACTCTTTTTAGAGTGAAATATAAATGTCACCTTTTTTTCGAATGAGATTTCACTCCCTTAGAGTAAAAATTCACTATAAAAGAGTGAAAATTATCATTCTTTTTTTAAAAGTGTAATATTTTCCGTTTTTTTTTTCAAGAGTGATTATATTTTCACAGTCTTAAAGTAAGATTTTAAGAAATTTGGAGTGAATATTGTGGTATCAAGAGAGTATCCGGTCTCTCTGTCTCTCTCTCTCTCTCTCCCCTCCCTCTCTTTCTCTCGTGAGATGTGTCTCGATCTGCAACACGGTTGTAGATCATCGCGTGTATGCTCGTAAAACATATCGATAGCGCAGGGGATTTGGGAAGATTGTGTTCCCACGTAAATACCTCACGCCAAAAAATGACGGCGTTCGTATCTTTCGACTGCCGCCTGCGTATCGCATGGCACGCGAGCTCCATAATTCACGTTAGCGTTGCACGCCGACCGCGTGGGAGATCCGACCGATCGTATCTCAATTTCGTCAGGATATAACTACCGGGACGTCAATGTAACGAACAAATCCGTGTAACCGTTTCTGATCGGAGCATCTGATCGCGTGGCACGTACGAGATTATCATCCGAGCGAACTCGAGAAATAAAGATTTGCGACGAGTAAACATCCATCAGACGGAAATCCAGTGTGGGAATCGTAGCGTATCAGAATACAAGCACAAGGAAGATTATACGTAACACTGAAAATATCATTCGCTAAGATGTTCTTTAACTTGTTTCTAATTAATCCTCTGAAGCTGAAATTTGTAATACAGTTAATGCTGGGTCTGTAAAGCTCATTTAATTTATGTTAATTAAAAGACAGTAATTTCAAGAAATTACAATGACGAAACTCGTATAAAGAGAATGAATACTAATTGTAAGTATATTTTTATAAAAATAATCTAAATTTATAGATGTAACATAAAGAATATTGTTTGGCATTTTTGACAAAGAGATTGATAACTGAAGTGAGTCCGATAAATCTACCGTCAGTTACGAAGAATTAATAAACTAAATTAAAAAATTGTTATATATTATACTTTTGAAAAGAACGTCAAGGTAATGAAAATCAAATGATTTTCCTATTATAACGATAAATTAATCGCTAATAAACTTGAATATTGCCGATTTCTTAGAAAATCGAAAAGCGTTCAAATTTTAAACATTACTCGTTACGTAAAATTTTTTTCGTTAAAATAATATAAAAGATTATTAAAAATTGATATTAATACCTACTTCATGATTTGCAAGACAATCTATTCATTCTTGTAGACATTTAGAGTAATTATCATCATATAGACGACTTTTCAGAAAAGCTATCATTAATAAGCAGAAATGATCACAAGAGAAACTTTTCAGTATTCGTCGACTAATAATTAACGCTATGATATTTTATATTTCGGGGCACGTCCGTGGAACAAACGATTTCTGTGTTCGGTGGCGACGAACTTTTTCCCGCGGTATTAAAATTCTTAATACAACCCTTTCGCGCTAGAATGGGGATGAATGCGAGAGTACATTCATGACGGTGGAAAGACAGGCCGAAGAGGAAGAGGTACGTCTCGAGGAAAAAGCGAATTTAATGAAACGAGAAAAACCCCGGTGAAGGTGTATTTGTAATGCAAATATCAGGCTCTCGGAGGGACGGAAAAATGAAAGCGTCGAAACAGACGGGAACGAAATCGAGCGTCCCATCGCTCTCGCTAATCCGATTTCGAATTCTTCGTCGTTTCGCCCACTCACTCGCTCGGTCGAATCACGTTTTCCGACACTGAGCAATCTTAGTAAAAAAATCCTAATTTTCCTCTCCTTAATTATCTCGGGAATTCGACAAAATCTTAGAAACCGCAATATAGGAATCGCAATTATCGGCAATTCAGCAAAATTTTAGAAACCGCAATATAGGAATGTTCAATTATCTAAAAATCACACACGGAGAAAAATGTACAGTATTGTACACTAGAAATCTAGTAAACTTATGGAATTATATCAAGTTCATATAGGGATACGTGCCTACTTATGTAAAATTTTCTTTACATTTTTCTGGTAAATGAGATTGTCGTATGATAATCATTTTTATTTTATTGAAAAAATTTTTTTCTTTAGCATTGACGAAATTTACTTTACTGCATAATAAAATATATATATGTATAAAAGTTCTAAGAATTGTTTGTGCTTGTCAATCTTGAAAATAGTACTATTTACCACTTTGGTACTTTACTGTAAGTATGATTTACTTTACTGAAAGTATAATTTATCTTACTATAAGATAATAATCACTTGAAATGACCTTTTATCTTAAATCTCCGGTATTTTTACTTTTAGGCAAATAAAATTTATACAAATTCGGTAAAAAAAAATAGCCAGAATATTTTTACTAGTCTTGTAAAATATCCATCTCTCAACTATTTTTCTCTGTGCAGTTCAGGCTAACGTTGCCAAATGATCCTTTCTCATTAGACATGCATATTAGTGTAATTTTTACGCAATTAAAATCATACTGTTTAATATTTCAATATGAAACAACATTTGCGAAAGCGAAGAAGTGGAAGATTGGGGTTAAAAGAATCGAAGGAATCGTTATTTACTGAAAGTCGACTATTGTCCCTTTTCGACGGACGCATTGTCGAATTAAGAGCTTTTGTCGCAGAGAACGCCTGGGGCGAGCATCGCTCTCGT